TGTATGGTCTTCTCTGTAAAACTTCTCCAGGTCCATATAGAACACTTCGACTTATTCTTCGTCATGGTTTGACGTCGACCAGTAAACGACGAAGATTGTCGAAGCTGGTATTGATCCACATCTCTTTATCGTAAACTTCCGACTCCGGTTGATAGTTGCTCGAATGGATCGATGTTCATGGACAAACTCGTGTTGACGTTAACGCCGAAGCCGCCGACTCCTCTACTGTCGCATGTTCCGGGGAACAGTTTTTCCCCGGTGTCATAAACGGCATTGAATGGGTGGCGTCGCCTTGTATCGGCCAGGCCAATGACGTCGTACTTTATCCTTCTTCCTTGCATGAACAAGTCTTCCATCAACGACCCGGATGCAAGTGTACGTGCATTGTAGCTGCAGATCGTCACAGTGTTCGCGATCCAGGCAGCTTCCATTGGCCCTGAGATTTTAGCATCCTCTCCGTACTCGTCCTTCCCAACGCTGCGAAATTGGAGGCTCTTTCAGGGTCAGGGGATGAGGCCCGTTTTTCTTTTACTGTGTTTAGCATTTTGATACCCACGTATAGCTTACTGGGCTCTAAACGTGGAGCTAAGTATATTCACGGTTAGCGCGCCAGGCTGTCCCAGAATGAGCAGGCAACTTACCTGCTGGAGGCGACTCCTAACCGCTTCCCATATACTTCCCTCTCAATTGATTGCAGGCTTTTGGCCGAATTGATTCGTAGAATACAATCCGCATAAACCAGGACCCACCCACACACACGTCCATGAATACGCCTAGCAAATACAGAAAGTGTGTGCCAAATCGGCGAAGCAGAAACAGGAGCCCATCCCCTGGATCCACCTGCGTCTCAGGGAAGCAAAGGTCGCTTTTGGTCCGCGATTAATCCTCCTATCTGCCACCTGGGGAAGCGCCACGTAGCCTCGCGACTAACCGGCTCGAGATCCCTCACATGAGGGAGATCCGTGGGATGTCCATATATTTATATAAAACACTGAAATGTACTATCCGTTTCTTACAAAACTTTACCAATTCGAAAAAAAATCGAGAAAGGGACATTAATGTCGGCGTGACTTCTAATGAACTCATAGTGCTTGCGTTGAGACCTCAGGCGCATCTTTGTTGGGCTAATTGTCGAATAAACACAAGAAGTCTAATAAAACAACTCGTTTCTAGAGAGTGGTAAAGCATTGCGGCAATTTCCAACACGGCTTGTGCAATGTTTCTAGAATGCTGAACTCATCATAGTAAACAGTTCGTTTTGATTAAAGCATATCTGTTCTCCTATCAAGTAGTAAAGACGAAATGTTGTGTTGCTTACTTTTGTCGGGGGTGCAATGATGTGTAATCTTACGAACTGTCCTTTTTCACTCGACAGCAAGTTGCCAACACCTGTTTTGATGTCCGGTTGCCAATACTTTGACTACTTCGACTTCTTCATATCCTAGACGTATTGTTTTATAACTTTATCTAATATTTTCTGAAATTTTTTCTTTTGAAATCATTTTTCAAAAGATGCGTGTTATCATCCTTGTGTCAGCTCAAAAGAAAGTAGTCCCCAAGATAACACAAGTTAATGCCGAGGTTGATAGAAAGTCAATTTTTCGAACTCCTGCACCGATAAGCCCATTGCTTTATATTTTATATGGAACTCTTTTAGCGCAGTAGTTGGATTTTGCGCTACAATGCACATGTGGTCTTTAGTTCGATCCCGCGTCCCATGCTCACCAAGCCCTCCATACGGAAATGTCCACAGTTATAAGAATACCACGTAGTTAGGACTTTTAGTCTGATTAACAGCTCGCATTTTATACTTGCCAGGCGTGATTTCGGTGTATCAGTTACTGAGCGGAACAGCGTCAGACATTGCGTTGTAGCTGTTTATAGCAATAATAACAACGCAATATTAACAATTACAATTAAATAACTAATAATCTAAACTTATATGTATTCTTTCTTGATAAGCTTACACGAGGTTGATAAATATATTTATTTTCGGCTAACGTTTCGACGTCTTCGTCTTCCTCAGAGCCGGTGATCCGAGTCGATGGTCCATGCTTGTTGTTCGCCTCGACGTTGCGTCTTCGCCTTCGTGTCGAGCCAGATCTTCCTCAGTGAGCCATCTTCTCGAATGAGGCATCCTCACTCAGTGATGCCCTTTTTCGAAATCTAAACTTAGTTGAAGTGAAACGAGACTGACCGAAACTCTCTTTGGTATGGCTAACAATGCTGCTCATATTCTCTACACAATGAGTGGAGTCTACTGGAGTCAATGTTCAGAGGAATATTTTAGAATGTTTCTCAGTTAATACAATCTTATAGAGCTGGTTGCAGGGAAGGTTTGTGAAGACCATACAATAGCTTGTACAGAAAGAATACATGTGAAAGCAATGGAGCGCCTTGTACAAAGGCTTATACAAACAGTGCATATGAAAACGGTGCAACGATTACAGTACAAGGATAAACGTGGCCGGGAGCAAGCATAGTTAATATGGGAAATACACGGTAATACAAAGAGTAGGAGTTATTTAGGGAATAGTTACTATAATAGGTAAGTTTACAGAGGATATTAGAGCTCTTAGGAGATGATTAGATGATCTGATACTGTATGAATGGATAGAGAATATTCCATATTTGGTGAAGAATGTTCTCTATACTCAATACCTAATTTTACAGTTTATTTCTACGTGTGAACATGGATATATATATTTATGTATATATACATATACATATATACACACTTACCTGGATACTTAGATGTCCCATCCTCACGGGTTTTGCGGACCGCAGCAAAATCTCCATTTGTCGAGGTTCTGTTGGCTTAGCCATTGTGGTTTCCTGGAGTGCCGAGGTCAAGCTGGCTAAGGTCTGCCCAGGTCGTCATCACCCAGGCAGTGTCCGAACCTGTGGATTAGAAGGAGATTTGCCACCATGCGACTAGTTTGATACTACGACGGTGGTGATCCTGCTACAAAAATATATATATATATATATATATATATATATATATATATATAGGTACATGTGCTATATAAGCACAAGAATGCTGAGATATGGGCAAAACTAGGAACTTCAACTAGATTTCGAACTGGCGCTTACGTTTACCGGCGGTACACGTGCTACACTGTACACCAAGCGAGGCCCTTGTTTTTACTTTCTCTAAGTCAGTTTTCCTACTCAGGCAGTGCTATCAACAACCGTCCGTCATTATGTTATATAATTTATATGTGCACTATGTTTTTATGTATATATTTTACAAATTCTGCTTCCTTTTTATACATTTTCTATTACATATTTTCTCGGATTGTCGGTTTGAAGAAAACACTTAGTGACCGTTGTGTGCTCGAAGAGTCTTGCCATATTGGAGACATCCCTTTCCAAAGTAAACAAATGCTTATTGTTTTTCTTTGGAATCACTTGGATCTAGTCGTTGAGCGTAATATACAAAGTGGACACTCTTGAGGAATTGAAGAGCGATAGCTAGCGATGATAATATCACTGATATGAAAACTAGAGAGAAAACCAATATTGGAATATTGTCACACTCTACTTTGCCAAGCGATTCTCCCATGTGGGAAGGTCTGCGTAGGTAAAGTTATCGTTCCAAACACCTTTGGATGGCATTCCCTGTACTCGCTGGACGGACAAAAACAAGTAGTTGATATCGATTGACCCTGGATGGCCTGATTCCACTGATTGTATCTGGTCGGCCTACTCACCACCAGCAACACTCCTTTTCGCATGACGTTTGACGGTGGTCTCCAGCAAGTACTGCGACAACTTCAGTATGATTGAGAATATTCGGCATTATTCTAAACTTCTCGAGTAGGTTAATCTTCTTAGCTGAGGGTCATTTGGGTCATGTCGCTGTTGCAAAGGGCTGCGAAAGATAGCGTTCTACATAAAAGTTATTTCCTATTGAGAACCGCTTTCCAGTTCCGTATGTGTTTATTTGGAAAACAAACCAAGAAAACTTTTAAATCAATAACGATATAAAAAGCTAAAAGATAGAGAGAGAGAGAGAGGGGGGGAGGAAGAGAGAGAAAGAGAGTGAACGTCGTTGTTCCTAAATGAGTTCCTTGGATTCGTTCTACTTCACGCGAATTCTTGTGAAGTCACTTGTTCCTGACAGTCTTCCTTAATATTTACCTAATTATTCTAGAAAGGAACTGAGCCGATCTGGCAAGTATTCACAACGACGCAAGTTTGTATTGCGGCGTTTGAGTCAATATAACTGGTAATGAATCTTAAAAAATCATCGTACCTTCAGTCTTCTCACCGTAGACAAACTTATTCTTTTGTACTACTTACCTTCATATTTAACTCAGTTGATAAGTTTTGCTCTTCCCATCGGTCTAAGATTAAACCAGAGGATTCCTTAGGCCATTTGAATTGTACTAAATCGCAACTAAATTGCAATGTGAATCGTGGAGAATGCAGTTTGAACGTTGTGTGGTGGGGAATCCGGTGTAGTACAGACGTTAATACGATGTTTCGTTCTTAGCTCTTGTTCTTTACCAATCGGAAACCCTGTTTTAACTACTAATAATATAAGTCAAGATTTTAGCAAGTGTTACATCTCGACTGCTGTTGTTTTCCTTCTCTCTTTTCTTTCTGTGTGTCTTTCATTCGCTAGTTCTATCTAGCACGCGATTTGGTCAAAAGCTTGGAGGCAAGTTGGGGCAATGAACAGTGGGAGACTTAAAAACGGTGTGTTCCTTCAAAAAGTTTGTATAATATCCACACTAAACGGACTGGATGCTTCCACTAGAGCATAGCTTCTGGTATACCGTACCTTCGTGGCAAAGTCCGGTGAGGTCCGCGTATCAGTTCTCCACTTATCAGCAATTAAAATATTGCTTAACAGAGAACTTAACGTCTCGCAACAAATTCTTGTCGGTTTTTGTGTGTATAAGAATTTTTTTATAGAGTCGTTTTCAATGCATCGGTAGTGAATCCATTAATGCTTACAACCGCCGAATTTCCAGAAGTATTTCAGCAGCATGTCCTCATCAGGGGATTTGGTTCTGAATTCAGACGAACATGATCTTGAGGTGCATTCGGCTTATGAAGACGCTTTGGATGAAAGTGACACAGAACTGAAGCTGTTGTGCCTGGCGGCTGCTAAACGTCTCAGGAAACAACGGTAATCGTTACTCATTTCTGTTACTTTTAATCTAATGAATCTTTAGCTTGGATCAGTTAACATGCATGCTAGGATTTTCACTAACACTTTCGTGACCAGTAGCACCTATAGGTGTCATAATGGTTCAGGGAAGTGGCCAATAATGCACTTATGGGTCTTATTTCCTTTCCAGTGTTTTATTTTTAGCGTGTAGAACTATTTTTGACACTTTTCATTTGCTATAAACCGAACGTTTGTAAAGACAGATGCTATTGGGGGTTGGTTACGAAAAGCTCTATTCTTCACTTAGAAATATACACAAGGCGTTTTCCGAAGGAGTTCTCCAACCCTAAATTTGGGCACCAGTCGATTAGTATTTCATTTCTATTAGCTATACTGATTGATAATTATCACACAGAGTATGAGGGTATAAAAAGCACAGAAATAGAGATTGACGAGTTACAACATACTTCCAAATGTTGACAGCAATGTGTTTGTATGGTGGACCATGACAGCATATAGTGAACAGCACCGTAACTATCATCCATACCTACAGACGTCCAGTCCGCAACAGGTTCGAGATTAAGCGTGGCCCCAAGAGTTCTAATTAGAATTAGATTCCGATATCTCGGTTTATTGACAAGCTTGCACTAAACCGTTACGAATATTTATTCTCGCTAAACGTTTCGACGGTTCCATCTTCTTCATAGTAGCAATAATTCCAGTAGACTTCATTGTAGTTGTTTCTTCTTATGATGCGGGTCCCGTACGTCGTCGCTCTAAGCCGAATCAGATAGAGTGAAGCACAGCACGAATGAAGTACCGTCAATCAGTACTACCCTGGTAAACAAAGCCTTTCTTGTCACACTGGAGTGACCTAATCTTATCCGGTAGTCTCGTCAGGACACGAGCCGGTACTTGGTCCATCGACAACCAGAATTATTTGCGTTTTTGATGACTGTCCATCCTGCACCATTCGCATTAGTATTGGCTAGTATATAGCAGAGAGATAATTACAGCTGCATTTAGGTACAGTTTAGATGTCGAGGGCAGAAAAATTTCTTAATACGCAGTGGACGATTATCTTAAAAAGGGTAAAGCTATCGGCGTTGATCAATCCCTAAGGAATGCGCCATACATTCAATTTATTTAAACATCGTTAGTGCTGTTTAAATGTATATTTGGTCCACACACGTACTCTAAGTGGCTTATCAACGCATCAAACCAGTGCTGATTTCCTCCTAGACAAGTCTGATTCCAATTTATCGACCCCGGAGGGATGGAAGTCTTGGTGAGCCTGAGGCGCGAGGTCGAACCCATGAGTTTTGCAGGGTGTCTCTAACCACTTCGCTACACCCTTCCGGTAAATAACTTTCTTAACAAAATAAAATGATGTGTAACTTACAATCACACAGTCGCCATTTGCACCCTAACCTTTATTACACATACCATATTGGAAGTACATTGATGAATACATATTGGTGGTACATCTGTATGCAAGAAGTAAAGCATTCAGCGTATTCCAGGACCGATTTTCTTTTAACCTCAGCATTGATCAGTAGTTCAACGTTTTTCTTGACGAGGAAAAAACTGGAACATTGTCCCTCTATTTGCCATTACTATTTACTATTATTTTGGTACCAGACTTGTTTGGGAGGACAGCAGCACTGGCTCGATACATCGCGCCTCCAACGATGCTTAGTGAAGTCGAATGCATAGCGCATCCCTCAGGGATTGATCAACACCGAGAGCTTTATACTTTATTCTTTAATTACTGTTTTGTTTCTATTCTTAGATGTTCTCCAGTTTCTTTGGGGAACAAGTTCAATGTTTCCCAGCACATCATTGCCATTTGATTTGTCTATGTGATTCCAAAGTTGTTTGTTCCGATCTTATGACCGAAACCAAGTATAAGGTTGATCGGAAATCCTAGGGATTGGTGTCTACTCTCAGCTTATCTAGTGGTTTCTTCTTGAAGCTGTGTTTCTTCTCAGTTCAACATCGAGCTACCTTTTCTTTGTATTATTTGGTAGTTTGCCATTCTCAAGCCATTGTAGGTCTTTGGAAATATTTTAATGTTCAGTTCGTTTTGGGTGTTTCCCTTCCAAAAAGCTTCGGTTGAACTCAAATGGGCTATGGTCAAAACTGGCAGTTTTTTTTTCAACTACCGTTATCACCTTCTTCAAAATGTGATAACACAGCTACAATATGTAGCAGCATCGAACAAATACTTTTTTTCGTGTAACCAAAATAACGTCACCACCTCGCGTCCTTCTTCACCCTTTGCCGAAAATCCTCTCAATTCGAATGGCACACCTTCAACGATAAGTGGATGGATAAGTCAGACCTCAGTGGAACTGACTACTTATGAAGCGTAGTAAATAACGCGATCCAAGACAGAAATACTTCAGGAAATCACAGATTTTTGTGTTCAGAAAATAACTGGAAGAGCAACCAAAGAAATGACTGGAGGTGAACGCAGAGAACTTCTTTCAGTACTATTAGGTTGTTCAGAAATATATGAGCGTTTTAAAATAATCCTAACCTTTTTACTTGCTGCCTATTCTTTTTAAGGGCAGGGTATGTTACGAAATATAACTATTATAATGCTGAGATATTTGCAAAACTCCGGACCGCAGGTGTCTGCGGTGGGGAACGAACGCGCTATTGTCCTTTCCGGGGAGTAACGCGTTCACCATCACACCATGCAGGTCCTTCGTTTCGCCTATCTCTAAGCTAGTTCTATCGATCACTTGCCATCAGCAATCACCCATCAACGGGATTGATCTGGGAAGCCCAACTTGGCATTGAATCCAGTTAAGTCGAAGCTATAGTTATAATCACAATCTTAACCTTTTTACTTACCTAAAAGAATAGGCAGTAAGTAAAAAGGTTAAGATTGTGATTATAACTATAGCTTCGACTTAACTGGATTCAATGCCAAGTTGGGCTCCCCAGATCAATCCCGTTGATGGGTGATTGCTGATGGCAAGTGATCGATAGAACTAGCTTAGAGATAGGCGAAACGAAGGACCTGCATGGTGTGATGGTGAACGCGTTACTCCCCGGAAAGGACAGTAGCGCGTTCGTTCCCCACCGCAGACACCTGCGGTCCGGAGTTTTGCAAATATCTCAGCGTTTTAAAATAGTTATTGCTTCAATGTGTTTTTTATTTTTTATTAATAAAATGTTCTTCGTACCTTGCAATATTATATGTCATTAGAAGGTTGACTTTATGCTTTTTCTCATCGCCTTTATTTTTATCAAAAGTAAAATTCTTACTTTTTACCGGTTTTGAGCTTTGCAATTTTAGGTGTCAAAACGAGTTTTCGTCAAATTTTCTTTTATAAGTTGAAACTCGGTCGTGTTGCAGCAGAGACGGCTCGAAACATTAATGATGTTTGGGGTCAGGGTAGCGTTGTTGAACCAACAATGCAAACACGCCTTCGGAAATTCCGATGTGGTGATTTCGATCTCGGAGATAAGGAAGGCCGTGGACGTCCCAGTGAGCTTGACGACGACGAATTGAAAACGCTAGTGGAAGTAAACACGCGAAGAACTGTTCGAGGGCTTGCAGTACAGCTTCGCGTAAGCACAGGAGCGATTTCCACTAATTTGAATCGCATTCGAAAGACAAGAAAGAACTCGACAAGTGGGTGCCTCACGAATTAAACGATAGTCAAAAAATTGCGGTTATGAAGTGTTGTCTGCTGTTATTCTAACAACCTGGACTCTGTACGACAACCGGCGACGTTCAGCTCAATAGTTCGATTGCAGTCAGGCTCCACAGCTCTTCCTAAAGCCGAAATCATACGGAAAAAAGATTATGGTTTTATGGTGACTGTTTGGTGGTCTGCAGCCGGGCTGATTCATCATAGCTTTTTGAACCCAGGCGAATCAATTACGGCAGTGAAATATTGCCAACAAATCGACTAAATGCACCGTAAACTCCAACAAAATCGACCGGCATTAATCAACAGAAAAGGACCAATCCTTCGCCACGACAACGCCCGGCCTCACGTTGCGGAACCTACGCTGGAGAAGTTGAACGAATTGGGCGACGAAACTTTGCTTTATCTACCATATTAAGCAGACCTTTCGCTTAGAGACCATCACTTCTTCAAGCACCTTGACAATTTCCTACTCCAGAAACGCTTCACCCACCACGATGACGCGAAGAACTCCTTCAACGAATTCATCGCTTCCGAAACTCCAGAATTTATGCAACTGGAATAACTAAACTTGTTTCTGATTGGAAGAAGTGCGTAAAGTTAAATGGTTTTTATTTCGGTCAATAAAGTTTTGTTTGAAGCAAGTAATGACACTTTAAACAATATAGTTAAAAACGCTCACTTATTTTTGAGGAACCCAATATCATAGGGACATGTAGTGCTGTGTGATGAAACTGTACCTTCCGACACGCAATAACTGGTTTAACCTTCATACTAAGGCAAATCACCTGCTGTATACCTCTGAGGTCGAATAACATGGAGTGTAGAGATACGAAATGCAGCAAGCTGTCACCTATATCAAGGTCGTACTCAAAAAGGAGTCTGACTTCGTCGAAAATTCGAAAGGCCAGCCAGCACCGGTTCACCTCTCCATCATCTTATCTTCGGATTAGTTGTTGATATTAAAGACGATGTAGTTCAAATGTGATTCGATTTCAAATATAGGATAGAAAACTTAGAACATGAAAAAGCATAGAGGGTTACGTTTTTTGTCACACCACCAATTTCTGGACTGGGACCAATTATATTATATTCTTGATGAGCAAGAGCGAAATGTTACTTAACTCTTTATTGACTGAAAAGTTGACATTTCGGCTTCTTTAGAGCCTGGAATAAAGGAACATACTAACCAAAGTTGCAGTCACAATAAAGTCACAATTCTACGGAAGTAAATGTATGCTGTTTAACAACCTCGCGCTTGCTGAACAAGAAAACAACGCATTCATATTCCAATGCCGAGGTTAATAGAAAGTCGATCCTAGGAACTGTTGCAGTCACATTGAGAACTAAGCAGCTTCTTCGCGCATACTCACCGCTTTTTATGAGTCTTCTTCCACTGGGTATATCACATGGAGACCAACCGCATAGAGATCATTTGGAAACGTAATATGCCTCTGTCACATTAATATGTCAGTCTTAAATGCTGTTTCAATACTGTTGAATTGAGACCGTCGAGACGTTAGCGGAATAGAGATCTTATGTAATCTTCGTGTGAGCTTATCAGAAAAAAAGAATGCTGTTGAAATGTTTTATTCTGTTTGGTTATGGAAGTGTTTTCTTGGGTAGGTTGCAGTCAACTTTACCTTTCCGGGCTGTGACGAAGGCGAAATCTGCTCAAACGTCTGCTTATCCGTCAATGAAGAATAAAGTAACACCTCATGTTTGCTCATCAGGAATAAAGTATATTAGGTGACTCATGCCAAGATCGATAGAAGGTCGGTCATGGGAATTAAGACCAAACAATATCTCAAAAAGTGTTTCCAGGCCTCGCCCGCATTCCATCGTACTTCCATCGTTATTGTGTTCTCCTTCCTCGACAAGCAAGCACAAGAGGTCGAGTAGCAGCGACAATTCAAGCATTGAGAAGCTGGCCGACGGTGAATTTTTTATTTTTTCACCAGTTTCTCTTATTACGTCTTCATATAACATTATAATCAAGCAATGTATCGTGTGAAGAAGAAATAGGAACTAAGCGGTTCTTGTAGAGGAATACTTCTGTCCACATCAGAAACTATTAGAAAAAGAATAAAACTCTTGGCTTTGATCGCAATCTCTTAGGGATGCGCTATGCATTCGACTTCATTAAGCATTGTTGGAGGTGATTCAAAGCAGATCTGGTCTTTACAATGACTCGTGGTGGCCTATCGTTGTATCGAGCCAGTGCTACTACCCTGCCAGACAAGTATGGTACCAATTTGCCGACCCCGGAGGGATGGAAGACTTGGTGGGCCAGAGGCGCGGGAATCGATTCCATGTTTATTGCAGGGCAGCTTGGACCACTGCGCCGCACGCGCCCATAGAAAATATTATACATATGCATATATAGGAATGTGCAGCTAGAAGAATCGAAACCACAAAATTTTGCTTATCTAGGTAGTCAAAGCCTACGTGCGACTGCCGATGGAGCTGAAAGGCCCCGTAGAAGCGGTCAAAAGAGCAGCAGCAATAACTCGGAGTCTCCGGAGGATTGGAAAATGGTCAACTACACTGTATGTTTAACTATGTGGACAAACTTATGAGAAACCGTCAGACTCCTTCAGGTGCCCAGAACCAATTATAAGCTCCGTTTTCCGAGTGTTACAGCTTGAAAAATGAGCGTTTAAAAAACAACTGCGTTTGATTCAAACAGGGCAATCCGAGAACAATTATTATAAAAGTTGAAACCACCCATCTTCTCGGTCATGCAACCAGAATCGCCTTTGCTAATAACAGGTACGGTCAAAGTCCAATGGAGAATGTGTCGTCAACTGCGTCACGTCATCCTAAAGAGTGGAAGCATCTTTCTCTCTACCTTTTTTCCTTTCTTGCTTCAGAAACACTGTGTGTGAAAGGCGTTCTTGTTTTCTGAGATCGATGAACGCAGAATTAACGAGTGTGAGACATACAAGCCCTTTTTGGTTTATGGACCAATGTTATTAGAACTAGATGTGTTTAACGTATTTACACATGTTTATCCCTTAGTTTTTTCGTCCACTGAACCCTGTAGATGTTCTAGCTTTATACGAAACAGTGCTCTCAACGCTTCTTTCGGTGAGAGCGCTGTTTCATATAAAGCCTACTCATCAGTGCTCTCTGGTTACCAGAGTGCTCAGTTCACATCCATCACATCCAACTCCTTGAAGAAATCAGTTTCTTTACCTTTTATAGTTACCTTTCCCAGTTCCAAGATGCGGCGAACAATCCGCTGTTGATGCAGATCAATCAACAAATGCAAATGTTAAGCCGACAGCTCTACGATATCGAATCTACCAATGCGCTACAGTTGCGAATTATAGCGAAGCTACTTAGTAAATTGATAAAGGTAAACAATTGTTGTTGCAGTTACAAAAAGAGAAATCTTATCCGTGGAACAGGTACTAGTTGTAAATCTATAGACGGAAAGCCCCATGTCATCAGATAATTAAGATTTTGAGCTTGTTTTGCGATAATGAAAAGATAAACGATTAAGCCTCTGGAGAATGAAGGAATAAAAGATAGAGCTTCCGGGGTTAATCAATTCCGGAGGGATGAGCCATGCATTCGTCTTCATCAAGAATCATAAGAGTTGTAGAATGCACATCTGGCCTGTACAAGGATTTGCAGTGACTCACCAATGACTCACTCATCAATTCAGTGTCGCTATTCTCCCAGTCCAACCTGGTACCAGTGTACCAACACCATGCCATGTGGGACTAGGTGAGCAAGATACATGGGATCAAGCCGAAAGCCAGATCCAGTGCGTATTGTAGGGTACCTTAAGCGTTGCGCTACATGCGCGCCTCTACTGGGACACTTCCTGAAAACCAAAACCAGTCTCTGACTAACGTTTCATTAATTTCTTTTTTTCTCTCGTATGTTCCTTGGGGCCTGATACATTCGTACATCAATGGTCAACGAAAAACACGTACATCCAGTTAACTGTTGTCAAACGTATCTTTACAAAAGTTATAAAAAACTAATTCATTTTATTCATAGGCTCAACAATGGCCTCGAAATATCCTTGCTCGCTTTTTTCGTTTTCTGCAAGTGTTGTTCATCGTTCTTATGGGTCCGTTCATCGTCAAAGCTATTCGTAGGCTCTTTTGTAAGTGAGTTGAAGAAGAATTTCGCTCATATTTATTCCCATCATTATATTTCGCTTTTTAGGAGTCAACAGGGGATGGCTGTAAATCCTTTTCGTTATTGGTAAGGCTGAGTGAAACACTCCACAGCTACACATCCATCTTACTCTTTCGTTTTGTCTTCTACACAACTGGAGTGGAGTGGTATTGTGAAACATTAGAAAGAGAGATGAAGATGCTCAGAAGCGATCAATAACTTGACAAAAATGAAAATAGCTCGTAATATATCTATACTGGGAAAGTTAGACATCCGTGGTTGTCGTCTGAACTAGTTGTCAGTTTTCAATTACTAGCAGCTCTGAGGCCGAAGCACATTAGGCACCTAGTTTCAATATTCATCAGAAAGTTGGTAATGTGTGACACATCTGGCGATGAATGATTTAACTTCTGGATGGATCTGCTTATAACTCAAAAAGTCTGGGCAGGTTTACATAGATAGTGGATAATGGTGAATAAAGAAGTAATTCTGACTTCTAGCAAAAGACTACGAACACAAGTGGCATGTCCTTACAGTATGCTACGTATGTTAGTCTAACGTTGTGATTTAAACAGAATAGAAAGGAATAGAATCATTCAGAAATTATTATTTCAGAGTGGTAATCATGTCTTTGGAACCATCGTTGCTAGACTGACACGTGGTTATTATTACTCCTTATTGAAATACGATGGCTGACGATTCAGCAATTCCACCTTCTTTAGAGCCTTGACGTATTAATCACCTATATTTCATTATTTGATGTCCTAATGAAAGCAAAATTCATATGCCAATCCAAAAATTTAGTCATGAAACACATAAGCTCACCTATGCTGATGTTTTCTTGTCTACCGCTCCATCAACATTCACGGTCGTACCACTCATCAGCTACGTAGAGGGACCGACGGGAAAGTTGAGGTAGTTCCTAAACCGTATTCTCATCCAATCGCTCAAATTAGTGCTTACCCAACTCGCTAACATCATAGTGTTCCTAGACCACCTACATCGCCCACATACAAACCGCACTTATGGGAATGACTTCGCAATACAACCCATTCTCGAGCTGCTCATATAACATGAGCGGGAAATAGATATGTACGGTTCGCCGACTCAGCAACTTATAGCTCTCATAAAAGAATAGAGTAGGATTAGCTGTTTAATCTATAGCCAATCCTTGAGAAACTACGCGCAAATCGAGGGTTGACAGTGGAGCAGTGATTTGCGCCAAGTCTGGCCATTAGCTTTATGTCTAAGGTGTGAAGCTTCCGTTCTCTATCGCCCATTGTTTCTTCACCTGCTTTATACAAGAGGAGCTGGACAAATGTTTAGAATTATTGAATTAACAGTCAGAGTATATACCTTATGGTTCACGCGAGAAAAAACCCAAAAAGTACTGGCTTCTGTTCATGAACTTTTAAATATACCTTTACAGAAGTCGCTACATCAACAAGTGACACCATACCCCAAGCAATAAAAGCGTACTAGCGCACCACCTCTTCAAATACCTTATGCACGAAAAAAACACTTCTCCATTAAACATGCGGCGAACAGTTAAAAGCCGCTGCGCAATCGGAGAAGAAGGAGTAACCGTACTTGGTTCACGAATAGCCATTACAAATAACTGCGAAGCGCCAACCACTGAGGTCAGGTCCGGAAGGAGAGTTAAGGCCAAAAATAATGGTTTCCCAAACAGAAATAGGAAGATCCCTTTCTAGTCACTCTTCATGTCCAAAGGAGTTCTGAAGCCTAAAAAACCTCAAAAAGCAGTGGTTTCTAGAGTTCTGTGGCAGTTACAAACTCCAACTCTGCACTCTGTTAATTAGTTCGTAGTCTCCTATGCGGTCACCTATGTACAATGGAAGATTGCGTGTTTCGTCGTAACGGGAGAGAGGATGACTGCATGAGTTCGGGCACAGTTTATCTAATCTAAAGGCTTGCGATGATGAATACATTGACACAAAGGGTAGACTACTTTGTGTCCACATAAAAGAACACCTACGGAGAAAGTTGTAAAGCTGACAAAGTATTCCTTCTGAGACAAATAAACAAAAAAAGAATAAAACTTACGGCCGTGGTCCATCCTTTAGCGATGCGCCGTGCAATCGACTTCATCAAGTATCGTTAAACATTGAATGCATATCCGGTCTACCCAATTACTCGTCGTGGCATACCGATGTATCGAGTTAGTGCTGCTGTCTTTCTGGACAAGTCTGGTACCAATGTGCCGATCCAGGAGTGATGGATGGCTTGGTGAGTCTAGGGAGCGGGATCGATCGCACATGTATTGTAGTGCGTCTATAACTGCACTACACTCGTCCCCTCCCCCTCCCTCTCCAAATTCCCCCTGGTACACGTAGAGCACAAAAACGCAATGGTCATGATATTAAAGAGGGTGTCACGATCATGGCGTCGGAATCAAAAACACCAACGCGCAAAATCCTTGAGCTATTGAGGATAAGCTCGAAGAATCCGAAAAGTGAATAAAAAGGACGAGTGCCTCAAGTAATACGCGACTTGGCGTCTTACCAGGTTAATTTTTTTAAGGGTTATTGTGAACTTTGCGATATGAATACCTCATTCCCGTTTCTCACCCTCACCCACTTATTTACTCTGAATTCCAAACAGTCGAGAGGTTGTGCGATGAGTCTGCCATTCAGAGATACATGGCTAACACAGCCAAAAGCGACTATATACTTATCCTATGACACCTCAGATCATCTATGATAGGGAAGATTCTAATCTTCTACAAATAGCATTGTCAGTTACCCGCGGATATTTCCAGTGCTCCTGGCATTACACATAACCCCTTTAATCCCTTGCAAAAGAACGGTAAAATGAAATGATTCATTTAGTGGATCCCGAATGAATATCCCTTACGGTAGCGTTGGAAAGAAATACAAAGAACTCCTTACAATCATAGCGACTTTTCGGTTTGCCGTAATCTGCAGTGATTATGCAAGGCATTGGGGATTAAATTATGGATATAATCCGTTGAACTGAGCACTTTTCGAGACAATGCTTGCTTAAACGGATACCATTTGTCAACTATGCCGGTGTTAGAAGATAACAGGCAGTAGGCAAGTTAGGTGATAGCTTCCAATGTCGTATAGATGATCACTCTGGGACGACAACATCGGTTTGGTAATTTTTCCTTTCTTAACTACTACTTGCTCCAGCAGGTAATATGTGAAAAAAGTGAACCAATATTCCGGTGAGGTAAGATAATAAAAGGATAAAAGGATGAAGCTCTCGGCGTTGATCAATCTTTGAGGGATGCGCCATGTATTCGATTTCATTACGCACCTTCTAGATGTGACTGAATGCATATCTGGCCTACACAATGACTCGCGGTGGCCTACCGATCTATCCAGCCAGTGCTACTATCCTCCCAGACAAGTCTGGTACCAATTTGCTTAACCAGGAGGGATGAAGGGCTTGGTCGGCCACAGGCGCGGAGACCGATTCCATGTGTGTTTTGCAGAGCGCCTCTGACCACTGCGCCACACGAGGTCAGATAATAGGGCCTATATATCTGCTAATATGGTTTTGTCGTATAGTGCACGAAATTCCCCTACTAAAGTGGAACGTTCGACTTCGCGATTGGAGGCACTGTCTACCCAATAGATAGTCTAAAATCAATTTGATGTAGCCAACGGAGAGATACAGGAGTATAAAAGGGTTCCTCAGTGCTCTTCTGGGAGCAGTGTCCGTTCTTTCTGAATGTGAGGGAACGGTTGTTCTGTTCTTGTAATTAGCATCGTTCACGCAGCCATTTCACATGCTCTTTCTGATCCTTTCCCGCTTTAATGACTAGTAGTGGTTTGACTCGATACGACGGCGGAGACACCAAATCGAGAAGATGAACGACTATGGACTATCGACTCAGATCATCGCCTCTGATGAAAACGAAGACGTCGAAACGTTACCCGAATAAACACCTTCCAATCTCGTGTTAGCGTAACAATCTAAGAAGGTACTGATTACTAGTAGTAGTGCTTTTTTTCACAAGATATTCTTTTATCACATCTCTGTAGACATTCCTAGGCCCAGACAATGGTTGGTGGTTGCATATGGAGTATTCAGCTTCATAATAAGGAACATCTTCGAAAGTTCTGAAAAGAATCGTCTGTTGTAAAAGCGTCGCACAGGGATTCTCCAGAAAAAATAGAAAATGAAAGAAAGAAGAATATATTCCTCACGGACTTACCTTTCGCTGTAAGGTCTTCTGCAACGGCTATCTCGTGTATTTACTTTTCACTCGGGTGGAAAGCACCCTATAATGTCTTTGTATGTCAAGACCTATGAGCGAATATGAAAACCAATGAAAACCAAGCGTTCTGTAAGCCCTCTCTGGCTCAACACCTGCACACTTGTGGAAAACAATCGCCTGGTAGGATCCCACTTTCCTACATTAACTCTTGCCTATCTACGGACGAGTACAAAAAGTACTACCTAGCTCTGTAATCGGTGATTGCACACCTTCTACTTACTCCTCTCCAGATAATGACGAATTGGAGCGTGAGTTTTCGCGCTCCGATGAGACTGGGAAGGGAGTGGGAACGGCGGGTTTTTTAAAATCACGCCTCTTCAGTCCTCAACGCTGTACTTCGTAATACTACTTTCTAGTTCTTTCTCGTTTCTTCTTGTGTTGACTGTTGTGGATTTCCCATTAATGTCATCTGTTTACTATTCATTTATGAAAATCTATTCTCCTCATCAGCGCATAGCGACACTGTATTTGTATTTCCGATTGTTATAGTTTTTCGAATTCGCTGAACATTTAGGTAATATTGGAACTACTTCGGTGCTGAGTAATGAAGTCCTTATCCCAGAAGAAGAGGAAATCTGATGTACATGTACGAAACGTCATTTATAACTTACTTTCTATACTTTCATAACCTTACACTCTTCCCAAGCACTACACTTTAGCTCGATGCCTCAACGACACACCCCCGCAAAAAGGAGCGACCCTGGTACGCAAAAGAGGTAGTTTTTCTTTGACTGGCAAAGTTTTCTGGTTGTACATCGTGTTCTGTCAGTTGTTACTTACCTGGTACTTGAATGACCCGTTCTCACTGGTTGTGCGGACCCCAGCATAATCTCCACTTTTCGGAGATTTGCTGATGAAGCCATTATGGTTCCTTGCGGTCCCAAGGTCAGCCTGGACAAAGTCTGCCGCAGGTCTTCACCACCACAGGCAGTCGCAGCTTTTGTGGGTCAGAGGGAGATTTACCACCATGCGACTTTGATACCAGGACGGTGGTTGATTTTGGTATTGGTTTACTCTTAGCTAGGCTTCCTGATGGAAACGCCGGACTCCTTCTCTGATTGGGAGACCTTGCCAGGGGATGAATCACCCGCTGCAGATCGCAGTCCGACACCCAGGAGCACTTTCCAGCCACGATGAGGCGGTAAACCGTTGGGAGGTTTGTTTGTCAGTTAAGGAATCATAAAATCGTAGTTTCTTCCTGCTTCCAGGCTTCCTTGGATAGCACACTTCCAGCGGAAAAAGATAGACGAAAGAGCATTATTGGCCTAGGAAAGGGCTTACTGAAGAAGATGCGCAGCTCCTCTGCACTGAAGGTACAATATTCTGTTGTCTTTTTATGGTCTTAATTCGTTTTCGTTAGAAGAAGATGTCCGCTTTCGAGTTCAAACCAATCATTTCAGCTCATAGTTAATTCTATCGAGTAGTAAAAGAAGCAGTACTGTCGACAGGTATTTGGTAACCACGACCGACTTTTTATCAATCTTGTCATTGACAAAGTAATTTATATTTTTGTTGAGCTAACACGAAGTGTTATTTTACTCTTTATTGCCTCAAAACCTCATAGAAAGCGGTGAGTGTGCAAAGCTGTGTTCAAAATGATTGAAATCTTGGTTTGGAGTTTCTTTGTTTGGTTATGGAGGCGTCTGGCCGAGTGGATTGCTATCAACTTGACCTTTCCAGGCTCTGAAGAAGGCGAAATCCGCCGAAACGTCAGCTTAATCGTGAACAAAGAATAGTAACACCTCGCGTTTGCTCAACAAAAATGCGAAGAAAATCACTCTTTATTGCGATTAAGCTGACGTTTCGGCGGATTTAGCCTTCCTGAGTGCCTGGAAGAGTCAACTTGACAGTACTCTACCCATTTTATCCGTTAGTTATGAAAGTGTTAGGCTGGAGAGATTGCGGTCAAGTTGGCTTTTCCAGACTCTGAGGAAGGCTAAATCCGCCGAAACGTCGGCTTAGTGGCAATAAATAGTAAAATAACACTTCGTGTTTGCTCGGCAAGAATGTGAAGATATATATTTTTTATTCCGAAGGGATGGAATTCTGATTTTCCGGAGCTCATAGGGCAAATTTCTGGTCTCTTTTTTGTTAAAGATCAAATCAAGGCACTTCTACTCATTGGGCTAAATGCACCAGTCAACATTCATTTCGCTCTTCTAAGCTTTTTTCTTAACTTGTTCTCTTCTGAAGAAGTAATGCGCATTTTTCCAGGATTGGGTGGGTAATATCCATTTAGGATCGCAATAGTGATATGACCATAGCATTAATGTCGGCTAGCACCAGCACCATTCCGATGCTTAAACAAGCGCCTCTTAACACTGAACTGGATCCTATGCCAGAAGATCAGTCTTCTCAATGCGAATCATCGGTAGATGTTCATATCGCTTTAATGTTTCCTTTCATTTTCACTGCTAGCTGTTCAACGAGAAGTTTAAAAGCCATTCGGAGTTACAGAGTGCAGAATCATGTGAGTCCAGTGAAGTTCTTCCTCCTTCTTTTCATCGTAATAAGGATCTTGTTCGATTAGTAACTACCGTATCTACACATAGCCATAGTACTCTGAGCAGTGAACAAATCAATTCAGTAAGCTGATATGTTTTGTCTTATTTATTTAACATGTTTCTATTTTAAGATTCGGCACCATTGACTGCGTTGAATACAACAAACGAGTAGGATATCCCTGTTTTGGTATTATTTTTAAAGGAAAGTTTTATCTTTCTAGTTCCATTCTGAGACATGTTCATCCGGAAATATGTCTCATTTGGGAAGTGTAGCATCGCTTTGTACGCCATCGAGAGAATTTGGTAGGGGCCAATTTCGTGAAAGTGCTAGGAGTATGCCGCCTGAATCGGATCTGATTCGTGGTCTGTGTAATAGGTCTGTTCATTTTCGTATTCCTTTGTTAAAATCGACTCAAATAGATTGTTAGTTGCATCAATCTACGACATTTATCTGAAAGTGGCGCAGTGGTCGGAGGCATCTTGCGACGCATACATGGGGTCGATCTCCGCGCCCGTGGTGCGGGGTCGGCAGATTGGTACGAACGTTGTCAGAGAGGATAGCAGCAGTGGCTCGATACATCGGTAGGCCGCCAAGAGGCATTACAAAGGCCGGGTATGCGTTCAATCACCTCCAACGATGCTTAATGAAGTCGAATGCATTGCGCATGCCTCAAGGATTCATCAACTCCGAAAGCTTTAGAGCTTTAAGATTGTATCTAATGCCTACACTATCTGACCATGTGTTGTTCTAGTACTATACGGAGAACGATGTCGTCCGCCTCTGATAGTCTAGCCGAACCCCAACGATTTATCCGTGCACGATCCATAAGACTTAGAGAGAAGTTGACGTTAAGTGCAAGCATGGCGGATTTACCGGAGGAAGAGGCTAGTAGACAGGGATTGATTCGTTCCTGTTAATAAATTTGATGTATTTATTTGCAAAATTTATTTAGGTTACATCGATTACTTCTTTTCCTGAAAGCACTGAGGAAGCAAAGACACCTGTAAATGCTCACGAAGGATCGAGCAGAAGAACTGTTGGTTTCTTTGATAGTGCAGTGTGGCTTTTTGCTGGACTAGATTTTAGTTTTTAACGTAAATTCCTTCTAGAGCATTGTATGGTCAACTCTCCGCTCAAAGTCGCGGATTTTTGGTTCCAAGAAAGTAGGTGATGGAACTCCTCTTTCTGGTAGCATTAAAGGTATGTAGTTTTTTTTTTTTTTTTTGAAGACGAAACAACATGAGCCCACCGTGAAGACCTAAAATGGGTGAAGTATCCAAATAAGAAAACCATATGTGCTTTAACTACTGTCAGGTTAGCTCAGTTGGATTGGTTTTAGCTATTCTAGGTTTTCAGAGGAGATCGGTTCTAAGGAACCTGAAACCAAGTTTATTAATTTTGCGATGAAAGCAGTTTACGATTTGTTTGTCGATTCCTCTTTCATTAGGAACGAAATTTGGTAAAACGTCTCTTTTAGCTTTTAAAAAGGACTAATATGCTTAGAATTCACAGTCATAATGGTACTCTTTTGTCTAATGTTTTCCTGCTTAGTTTACTTCATTGTTTTATTTAATAGGTATGTTTACATCGTAATTTGAAATCTATTTCAACCCCAATTGAATTAAAGTCGTGTGAAGATCCTGCGCCTCGGGCTCATCTAGCCTTTTATTCCTCCGTGACCGGCAAGTAGGTTCCGGACTTATGAGGGTTAATAGCAGCACTGACTTTATATATCGGTAGACGATCGAAAGATATGTTAAGGGCTAGATGTGCATTCAGTCACCTTTAACGATGCTTAATAAAGTATGGTGCAAAGCGCAGTTCTCAGGGATTGGTAGACGTCGAGTACTTTATCCGTTACTCTTTGCCTAAATTGTTTATTTACCGTGGACTTTTAATAATGTATAAATTGTTTGCTGCATGTATAACTTTTTATTCACTGCTTTTTTGTTTTTTTTTTTCACGCAGGGTATTATGTGGAACATACCCACAATGATGCAGAGATATTTGCAAAACTCAGATCCTAGGCCAGGTTCTAACTAACGACTAACATTTCCAGGGGCTCACATGTTACCCATTGCACCACTTAGGGCCTTTATTTACCTTTTTCTGGGCTAGTTTTTCTACCCTAACGTTGCCATCAGCAATTCCCACCAACGGGAATAGGCTGGGAAGCACACAAATTACGATTGAACCTCTGAAGCTGAAGTTGAAATCACATTTATGAAGTCTTAAAGGCACCGTTTCTGTAGACCGGCCGAGGGAAAGGTGAAGTAAGGGCCTCTGGTGGTTTAATCGATAGAACGTGAGCTCCCAGAAAGACCAATCGTGGGTTCGAATGTGGCACAAGGTCTGGATTTTGCAAAATAGCTCGCCATCATTAGTTACTTCTGTTTTCTACATATTACTCCTTCAGATGTTACGGAGACTCCCACTGATCGAGAAAATATGACACCACCAGGAAGGAGTCTGCGTAGAATGTCGGCAAGTTCGGCAAGCATTCAAAAGAAGGTTTCGTCGGCACTGAAGAAGAGTTTGGGCTGTGTGTTTTTATTTTGTTCAAATATAGTTTAGCCGGCGAGCAACTTTTTTATAAGAATGCTATATTTGTCGTTTTCAAAATGTCTTCTTTTAGCTCTCGATTTTTCTCGCCGATTTTTTGCACTGAGCTATATTTTTTCAATATTGCTAACGGTATCTACGTATAGTTTACGTCTCATCGTGGCTCGTGGATGTTATTAGATGTCGAAACTGCGCTAAACGAGGAATGTTCATGTGCTAAAAGTGCCCTCAAGGAAGCAACTAAACTGATAAATCGTTCACCATTTATCTATCCTTACGTGTAGGTGAGCCCCCTGAGTAGGCCCATTGGCTTGCTTTCACGAGTCACAGTCGTCCATGTTATGGAAGGAATATGGTTGCAAACTGGTAAATCTCTCTCTATTCTGCAAAGGATGGTGGCTGTGTGACCATCTGCAAACACTTGCGCGCCGATTTGCCGGGGCTCCAGAAAAGGGATGTTGTGGAACTAATGGATCTAACAAGGTACCAGTTAAGTGGAAAGTATGCTATGGGTCACAGAGTTCTTCTTGAAGATGGATATCTAAATGCCAAGTATAAATTTTCTGTATTTAGTAATGATAGACAATAGTTTTGTTTAGTCTGTGGTTCAAATTCCAATCTGGCTGGTGTTCAAGTGCGGGGCACACCTGCTGGTATTCTTAAACGCTCATCTACAAACTCGAAAGACAGATATCGCTTGTCATCTAGCATTGCACGGCGCTGTAGTGACGGTTGGTTTCAGAGGTTGTTCATTTCATTATGAATCGTATTTCTAATGTGAACTAAAACATCGCATTCATCCATATATTATTCGTAATCGATGTTAAACCTACCTCATGTGCCAGGCTGAGAACAATTTCCTTAAGAATACCTCATGTGAGTTCTGTACTCGGGTAATTTCAGTTTCGGGAATTGTGGCCACTGAATTGGAGCGCCAGGTGCGCATAGAGGAGAAGAAAAAGGATGCAGGTATATGGTCTTCGTCAAATATTCTTTTCGAATTCTTTGATACCTAATGAAATTTCCTTTTAGAGGAGGCTCGGATGTATATGGAAAAAGTTCTTATATCGGGAGAGCCTATTATGCAAATATTATATAGAGATGGTTACGACGCCGTAGTTGTGGATGTGTCCGCGACAGGGCTTCCGGTCTCTAGCATTGCGAAAGACATACTTTGTGGTGATTCTGGTAACGAACTTCATAAAATTGGAATGTTCAAGCCATACAAGGACGGCATTTTGAAGACACAGCCAGGAAAACCTGGTGAGGTTCTTTTCCGACTTTACTTGATTTTGGTATTTTTGCTTGTATTCTATATTTGCAGATATAATTTACATCGTAAGTGAGAAAGATGAAGAACCAGACAAGCGTGTGAGGGTAGGTGTAGCGACCGGAATGCGCGAAGCGTTTGGATGCGAGCAGCTGAAGAAAATAGTAACTCCACTGGCTTTCTTATAAATTCATTTTCTTTGTTGCACTTCTTCTTTTTCCAGGTGTTGTATCCCTTCTGCATATCTCACGAAGAACCATTCACAGATTACGTCATTCAGCAGTTTCTATTGGCTTCATTTAAAGCGTTTATTTGGAATCAGAAAGCAAAAGTTGTCTATTCATTGATAGTTACCTGATGGGCTTCTGAGCTTCTTACATTCTGGTCCATTAATTTAAAAACTTTTAGTTTGATGGGACTTTAACATTGGCTGGTGTTACTGAAGAGAACTGTGCACAAATCCATCGACTCTATGAAGAATTTTTGAACTCAGAAATAAGGACGAGAATCACAGCTTACGAGAATCTATCTTTACCGGCCACTGAGAAGATACAAACCAAAGACGTCGATGAACAGAACGCATCATCTAGAGAAGTCAGTAGTTAGAGGGAGTTGTGTATGCTTGGTTGTTTGCTTGTTTGCTGTTTACCACTTCACCATTAATATTTGTACTTCATCAATTATTCTTAGTTTCCATGTCATATCTAGAGACTTTCATACCTTATCTCGTTATTTTGTCTTCTCAATCAATTAACCCTCTGAACAGAAGATGTTAGGAGGATCTAAGGAACCTTTGTTCTACCTGTTACGTCTTGAAGATTCGAATGTTATTCCACTTGTACAATAAATGAGGTTTTTATATAATGATATGATTGCTGAACAAAGATCGGAGTTGTGTGAGCGATAATCGTTTTCCATGACCAGTAGCTAACTACTTTTCAAGAGTGTTATGCGTTGAAGAACAGCTGAAGCGATACACGTGTTCACGAAGAAATTGAACAGAAATTGTGGTTCTTCTCGCCTACCTTTAGTACGTGGGATCTTGTGCAGCATCCTTACATGAAGATCAGCATCAGGATAAAGCTAAAGGATAGAGTTGTTGGCATTGATAAGTCGCTGAGGGATGCGCCATGCATTCAACTTCATTAAGTATCGTTGGAGGTGATTGAATGCATATCTGGCCTTTACAATGACTCGCGGTGGCCTCCCTATGTATCGAACCAGTGCTGCTAACCTACCAGACAAGTTTGGTAGCAATTTCCCTACCCCGGAAGAATGGAAGGCTTGGTGGGCCATGGGCGTGTCCACGTGTGTGTTGCAGTGGTACCTTCAACCACTGCTCCACACCCACCAACATCAGGATAGGAGAGGGTAAATAGATGTGGGATGGTTCTAAGATGCGGTATGATGGATACTTTGTCGAGAATCAGCATGATTCTGATGATCAATCGCTGGCAATAGGTAGTTTACGGGTGTCTGAAAATTATGCCTCCAATCTTTAGATTGTGAGTCTAAAGTTCTCAACGCAATTGGCAGGACACAGTGCGAGGGTGGGCAGATACGCATCGATGAGTTTTTTGTCACCTCGTTCTTTCTCTGTCACAATGCAAAAAGACCATGTCTGTGGTAAGGGTAGGGCATAAAAGAGAAGCTAGAGAACTTCCTAGGTGAGAATCTCTCAAAAATAGGGTACAAGTCATTTATGCTTATTATTTATGGGGCACTTTATAATCCAAAGGATACTGAATGCTTTTCTTGCCAACAATGGGTTGATTAGTTTAGGTCTGAAATAGGAGGTTTTGAGTCCACTAAGCTGTTCTGGTGCAGTCCTTTAAATGAACAAGAAAGCAATAGCTAAATCAGTTTTTCCTATCCCCATTTTGTTTACCATTTATTAGATGAAGAGGCTAATCCGGAATTTTTCGAGCGTTTGTTTACATACGTGGGATTTCCTTCAGCTTTGCCAGATACGCTTGGGCTGAGGTAAATGTCAGAGTGGTTGTTGATTTTTCATCTCCAAATTTTCAGCTGAATAAACATGTGTTCTCAAAGCTATCAAAAAAAAAACATGAGGCATCGAAGGGATGGACTTGCCTTTAAAAACTTTCTACTGCAGATATGCCATCCCTTCATAGCCATTCTACTTGTTCGCTTTGCTCTTGCATCGTCGTCGTTTATAGCGATGGCCTGTGTGGTGGTCTGGACCAGTCTCACCCCATAGAAATTGCTCTCTACCTGGTCGAAAATACTTTCCACCCTCTTCTATTATTACACATTCCTGATATTGATTGTATATTACTTCATGTATGTGGTTTGATAGTTAATGTATCGATGTAATAATTTACATACGATCACCTTGCTGACAACACTTGTCCTACACTGAAAATTAAGCTATACCCCACAGGCACGGCAGCATGACCCGCCACAGTGACCTTGAGACCGTTTTCGCGACTCCATGTTAAAATGGCAGCACTCCATTACAAATCGCTCCCATCATCTCCTCTACTCCTCCTCCATTCTATTAGCCTCGAATTGTTGAGCTTTACTTTCAAATACTCGGTAGTTGTATACGGGTAGCTCTTCTTACAACATACCACGATTCTTTGTTGTAGAAGCACGTGTCGGTGTAAGTACACCTCCTTACGCCTTTTCCACTGCGCTCCCATTATCTTCAGCTCGTTGCTCCTTCATCTCATGAGCAGACCTTAATTGCTGACCTCTTAATTCAGATACATGGCATTCTTATAATAACTTAGTATGCCCTCACAGTACATCATCAATCAACTGTAGAGACCTGTCCGTTATTATAAGTACACCTTCATCGTTGTGGTCCTTTTGTGTTGACCACGGTACTGCATATATGGTTCATGCACTTATTGATCATCATGTGTTTGTTGTTGTTATGTTGACGCTATTTGTATGAACGCGTAAATATCCAAATTTGAGTGGTCTTGCGTGGCAGGCCGCAGGATAAAAGATAAAGCTCTTAGCTTTGATCAATCCCTGAGGGATGCGCCATGCATACGACTTCATTAAGCATCGTTTGGAGATGATTGAATGCATATCTGCCTTTACAATGACTCACGGTGGCCTAGCGATGTATCGAGCCAGACAAGTCTGGTACTAATTTGCGGACTCCGGATGGATGGAAGGCTTGGTAGGCCATGGGCGCGGGAATCGATTCCACGTGCGTGTTGAAGGGCGCCTCCGACCACCGCGCCACACGCGCGCCTTTAGGCCCGAAGAAAAGATACAAATACCACTCAAACTAACCAACACTCTCCTCTTATCCCAGAATTCTTGGCCAGGTGTATGAGTGGTTAGCGATTGTGAGCGATACACATACTGCTTTCACGATGATCTCTATACCATATTAGGTTTTCCTTCAGTGTTCTATTCATTCAACTGTTATTGAAACTTGTCGTAATAAAATTGATACATCATTGTGTTAACAGCAACTAATGGCTTCCATAGTGAAGTTCTACACTACTCAACAAAAAGAATTTTAAAGCATTTGTTCGTTCGTTCGTTTCTACCAACACGCTCCCACGTTCCACTTCTCGCACTTCTTTACCGTCCTTCTCAAGCCGATTAGTCGCGTGTTCACATGGACCAGCCACGGGTTGTGGATACAAAGTTAGCACTGGTCCAAAATCGACAGTGCAGTAGTTCCACTGGAACACCTTATGACAGTACTTGGCTACTTCGATGATCCGTTTTACTGGTTATGTTGGACCAAGCATAATTCGCATTCGTTTCTCTCTCGCTCAATCGTCGACCATGCTGACGGTCCGCTTCGAATACGATGACATTTACGAGACCGATTCCGTAATCCTGAAATCGCAGCCATCTGCGAGTGCAGATGGTTGATGCTAGTAACGAACGCGTCCGCCCATCGTTTGGATGGTCTTCCAAAAGTACACTTGCATTCTCTTGGAGTCCACTCCACTGTTCTTTTCGGTTATCTGTCATCTATTCTTCTTGTTATCTGACCAATGTATCTATTTTTCCTTACTGATCTACTTTCTCCTGGATCCCAAAGCTGGAATAACTTTCCGAGATCTCAGCAGCGCATTCTGGGTAGACGTTGTAAGTGCCTATTAAGCTTCAGAAGAGATCTTGAAGCACCTTGTGGGAGGTGCGAAGATAGTTTGGAGTTTTTGATGTACCAGACGACCTCTCTTCTGCATAAAAGAGCGCTGAAAGGACTGTTAAATGAAATAGGTAAATACGGTGGTTTAGGTCCGCTCGTTAGTCGGTGGCTTCTTTTCTCGAATGCAGCCCGTGCCGCTCTCCATCTGTCTAATTTCTCCTTCATGTTGTTCTCCATGCTCATTGAGCGTCCATGGTAGACCTACAAGGTGGTCTCTGCAATCAGAAAGCCATCAATTTTGATCTGTCCACCTACGTACCACCGGTTCTTCATGAACTGTGTCTTCATCCTATTTATGTGCGGTCCAATCTTTTTTCCGCTTCGTTTAGCGTCGTCTCTGTTTCGTTGACGCTTCATAAAAAGATGACGATGTCTCCACGAAGAACAGGATGGGCAGGAATTTTCACTCAATTGCTGTGTCGTTTTCGTCCCAGTCGACCGACTCCATTATCCTTTGCAATGCAGATATAAACAACCGTAGCGAGATAGTGCCTCCTTACAGAACTCCTTTTTCCATGGATATAGGAAGAGATCGATGGAAAAACCTCATTTTTGTGCTGCAGTTTCTGTAATGGTCAGCTGGAGTTTGCGTGAACTCCTTGGTTGATCAGCGCTGATAGGATTGTATAGGTTTAAGTGGTGTCAAACGCTTTCTCGCAGGCGATAAAGTTTAGGGCAAGCGGCATTCGGTACTCCCGACAAACTTTGACAAGTGGTACGGTTTGGATGTGGTCCATACGGAGAATCCTTGTCGGAGCCCTACTTGATCATCTTGTTGTGCCTCATGCGAGGTCTTCTATTGGTGAAAAAGATAATTTTCGTGAATAGCTTATAGAGTACACTCGACAAGCATATTGGACGGTAGTTACGTAAGTCCCGAATATGAAGACCGCGCGCGGGGAATTGTGTCTTTCTTCATGCTTTCTATCGAAACACGAAATTCAGAGGGCGATTTCCAGCAGCGGAAATTTCGGGGTCCGAGCTGTGGAACGCGGAGCAGAAAAGAGTCATGCAGAACTTTTCTGTTATTATTTCCGTTTCATGGCAGGATGTGTGATAGTCCCATCTTCGTTCAACAAGGCGGACAGCGGGACATTATAGTCGCAAAGATCTCGACGGTGCTTCTTCGGACTTGATCTTTTTGAGCTGCTTACAAAGTTTTTTTGTCTCTGTACCGGTGTAAATCTTCCTGCAAGAACCCTTTACAGATGGCATTTATTATCAGCCGTGTTATATGTGTTGCAGTAGGATCAAACTTCCGTTTGTTTGTCTTTTCGAGCAATTCCTTATGAGTAATCAGAATGCAGCGTGAACTACTCGTTTGGCGGACTGAAGCGAGCGGCACAAGTTTTAAGAAGATTTTCACGTTTATTGGCGACTTTCTGTCTTTACATGAAACTCATTCCCATGGATGAAGCATACTGCTGCCAGGACACCTACAAAACGGGTTTTA